CTTCCAACTCAAGAGTAAAAATTCAAATATATATATATATTATAATAATGATAAATGCAGTTTATTTAGGGTCCAGCATGGAAGCATGATTTAAAGATGACCAGTTCCATTAGATTCACTATACCACCTATACCATTTCAGTTGAGTTGAGTTTTAGGTTGCACCAAATATTTTTCCTAAAATGAAAATTGCTGTACTCAAAAATAGAATGAACAAAAAAGAAAACAGAGACCTCCATTCTAGGATGGGTCTAGAGCAGGGATTCTTTTTTTTTTCCTGAGTTGGAGTCTCACTCTGTCGCCCAGACTGGAGTGCAGTGGCCGCTCCCGGCCACCACAGCCTCGACCTGCTGGACTCTGGCGATCCTTCCACCTCAGCCTTCCAAGTAGCCGGAGTCCATGTATGGGCTTTGGAGGCCCATAAACTGCAGAAAACTATAAGATGTTGTACAGACATATGTTTTCATTTTCACTACCTTCTCCAAGGGGTCTGTGACTCAGGAAAGATTAAAAACTACTGGTGAAGGAAGTCAGAAAGCCCAGTGACTTGTATGTATTTGCAGAAAGCCTTTAAATTTTGGAGGAAATCTTTATGTGCCATTACTGAGGCTGAAGTGGGATAATTGGGTGGTAAGTGGATCTGAAACAGCTAACCATCCAGCAGTACAAGGGGCTGCCTTGGAGGCGGAACTACAAGACTACTTATGCAGACCACCTCTTGGAGATGCTGTTAAAGTCCTAGTCTGATGGAAACATTGAGTGAGAGGACCTCTGAGGTCTCTGTACTCTTTAATTCTCTGATTAAGGCCGTTTAAAGCAGCAGGCTGGACTACTTGAAGAAAATTAGGAGAGAACAGTTTATGGGTTCCAAGGTTTCATGTTAGAAATTTGAGAGTGGGCCTGGCAATGGTTCACGCCTGTAATCCCAGCACTCTGAGAGGTTGAGGTGGGAGGATCATTTGAGGCCAGGAGTTGGAGACCAGTCTGGCATGTCCATAACTGCACTGCAACATAGTGATACCCCACCTCTACAAAAAATAAAATAAAATAAATTTGAGAGTGGTATGATTGTTTCTGATGCGGCAGAGATGAGGAGGCAGATGAGACTGTAGCTCAGTCCTAAGGAAGCCATTAGAAGGTTCAGGAAGAGATAGTTGGGCTCCACTGGAAGAAAATGGATGGGAAACCACTGAGTGTCTGACTGTAACTAGGGAACAGGACGGGGAAACAGAATTCTCTGGTTGCTTACAAGTTAGCTTTCTGTCTGAAAATACTGAAGGTGTGAATCCTACCTTGATTGGCATCTGCAATTTCTAGCAGTTTGTGTTTCTAGCCCAGCCCTTGGGCCGTCGAGTCAGTTCATCGTCCAAGAAGGAAAACCAAGTAGCCCTCCATTTTTGAAAGGCTTCTGTAATGTAAATAGGAACAGCAGTCTTTCCAAGTTATTACCCTGTTAACAGGTTGACAGATATGTGCAAATTGTGACTCACTGCTCAATTTGGCACTAAATTAATGTCTTTCTGCACCGCGTCTGCTCAAGTGTAAACTAGTCACCACTGCTGTGTTACTGCTTGTTTGCCTATATTCCAAAGGTAAAAATTAAAGTAATTTGATTCTGCCACAAGCGCAGAGTGTAGCATATGGTGGAAGTGGAAGAGGAGAGCACGCTGTTCCTCCCTGGCCTTAGCCCTGCTTTCCAAGTGTGTCGCCCGCGTCGCCAGCTCTGCAGATGCTCGTGGGGCTCACCATCTTGGGAGGCGGCATTCTGAGTACTGCCAGAGACCCCCTTCCGTCCTAGCCCCCCACCCACGACACAAAGGGAGTGTCATTTTTGTCTCCAGATTTTTAATTTGAGCTCCCAAGTGTTCTTTATTTCTGTCAAGTCACTAGCGGTTGATTTGTGTTTCCAAGGTTGGGTCTATTTGAAACTGAAGTGTTTTGATTTTTGCTTCTGGAATATAGACATTGTTTTCTTCAGCTAAAGATGCAGCTGACTTTCTCTCTTTCTCTTTTTGGCAAATACATAATGTCACCTGTAAAAAAGGAATTTGCATCTCCTTTGTGTTAGGCATGAGAATGAAAAACAGTCTCCTGAAAATTCGTTTTTGCTTAATAAAGTCTTTGAGTTGAATCTGCTGGCTTTATCTAAGGCCACAAGTTGGGGAAGGAACAACAGTAACAAAAAACCCACCCTAGATCTCTTTCCTTTCCTATGCCAATTGCAGATATTTTCCCCAGGAGCTCTTTTTCTTCTACTATCGCCTTTCCTTACAAATAAAAATCTCATAAATAAAGGATTCCAGAAATGGCAAGGAACATCTGTTGTTTGCCCATTTAGGGCTCTGGCCCTTACTAAAATTAAGCAAAGTCAGGTAGTTGGCATAGAATTCTGGAAATCTACACACCGAGCTTGGTTTCTGACTTTTTGCATAACCTGGACTCATCATTTAGCCTGTTCTTTACTTTCCTAGCCTACTATAGAGACTACTTTTTCTATAATGTATTTGGAAGCCTTCAAGGTGAAAGGTACAGGGGAGAGCAAATTATAATGTTACCTTTGTACTGAAGTTCTGCATATTCATTGCTTGCTACTGTCCAGAGCTATGATGGCTATTGATTGAGGATCAGTTCAGAAGACATTCCCTCCCCTCCTGCCATTAGCATATGCTTAGCAATGACCTCCATTCACACAGGACAGTGGGTTTTTGCTTTCTGCTGAGTCAGAAGAAACTGGGTGTAAGCCACATATATAGATCTGGAAAAGAAGTATGTGGATACAGAAATGTTTCCAGTGATCGAGTGTGACCTTTTGTCATGTATCTTCGCCATTTCAAAAAACATCAGGCCGTGGTGAAAAATGTGTTGATTCTCTTCTTTCTTCACCTTTTCTCCTCTTTTGTAGCCTTTAAACTTAGATCCAAAGTTGTGTGCCATGAAGCCGTACATCTAGAAGGGACCACAGGAAGTGATGTGTGGTCAACCTGTTTTTAGCCACCCAAGAAAGAGTGTTTTTCTGAAGCATTAAAAACTCAACAGAATGGGGCCCTACCTTTAAGAAACGCCTCTTGTTCTTTCTGAGCATGCTTTCCTTTCAGTGACATATCTTCGTGGTGTGGTACTTCAGAGAGATGGAAGATGCTGCTTGGTTCTGAGCTCGTACAAGCCATTCATGTGCTTGAAGAGTGTCAAAGTGCCCCCTCAGCCTTCTTTTACCCTTTAAGGCACCTCTACCTCTTCTCACACATCCCTGCTGCAGTCTTCTTACTGTCATCGTGTTTACCACTGGGTCCTGTCTAGTTTTTCCCCCCTCTTCAACTTGGAGTTTAAAACTCTACATATAGGCCGAGTGTAGTATGGTGGCTCATAAATAAAGGATTCCAGAAGGCATTTTATTCCCAGCACTCTGGGAGGCCAAGGTGAGAGGAATGCTTGAGCCCAGCCTGGGCAACATAGCAAGATCTCACTTCTAATTAAAATAAAATAAAACTCAGCATACCGTTCTCAAAGGCCAACCTGATAGGCTTATCAGTAGGATTACTGATCCTACTCGGCCAACATGTTGATGTTCACTTATTAACAAATGGCATTATGTTGTCTGCCATCCCTCATCTGCTCCAGGTTCACACCAAAGTCTTTTCATGTTGCAAATAGATAACTGATCTCCCTCTTCCCCAAGAGAGTATACCCTTTATATGTCCCTGACTTAATGGACATGTAATTTAATTTGTCATATCTAATGGATGTGAAATCCAGTGCAAAATCCTTAATAGATAGTTTTGCATCTCAGCAATTATATTATGCATCTCCATTGTGTCCACTATGATTGGATGGTGAGCACAAGTATGTGTGTGATTTTATTCTCAAGGGTCCCGAGCCAGACCCAACTCTGTTGATGGTGTGGACTGACGTCTTCAAAGTGAGCCTCCACTGCAGGGGAGAATTCATTCTAGTAAGAGAGGGCATTTTTGCAGAACAGGCCCATGGTAGATGTTGTAGAACTAATAATAAGAGTCCTTAATGTGTGCTCGACCCCACACTAAATGCTTAATGTCAGTTATCTCAGTGTTACTCAACTTCAAGAGATACAGGTTTTGTCTGGGCATGGTGGCTCAGCCTGTAATCCCAGCTCTTTGGGAGGCTGAGGTAAGAGGATTGCTTGGGCCTAGGAGTTCAAGACCAGCCTAAGCAACATAGTAAGACTTCATCTCTACAAAAAAAAAAAATTAGCCAGGCATGGTGGCATACACCTATAGTCCCTGCTACTTGGGCGGCTGAGGCGGGAGGATTGCCTGAGCCCAGGAGGTTGAGACTGCAGTGAGGTGTGATCATGACACTGCTTTCCAGTCTGGGCTACAAAGTAAGATCCCAACTCAAAAAGTAAAAATAAAAATGTGCCCATGACCACTGTATGGCTCAGCTATTTAAAATATATGCAGATAGAATACAGACTCAGAACACCGATTTAAGCAAAAGTCGTGATATAATTTGAATTAGGGTCCAACCAAGAAAACAGGAATGATTTCAGGTATGTAAAATAGGAGTTTAATCCGGGGAATTGTTATTCAGGTGATTGAGATGAGAAGCCAATGAGACAGACAGTCTGGAGGTGAGCAAACAGCAGGAAGTTATGACCATCCTAGGCTGGAGGGACCCAGGGAGGAGGCGGTGTTATAACACAGAGAAATTCTGACCTCCTGTAGAAGAAACTTGACAGGCATGCCTTAAAGTGAATAGTCAAAAACGAATATTCAAAGCACATTATTTAGCAATACAGAGGTAAATGCCAAAAGAAATCATCAAAACATGGTTGACTCTAAGAACGAAAGGAAGGAAAAGGAGAGCAGAGTTTTTTGTAAAAAGCTTTAAAGTCCTGTTTGCCTTCTTAAAAATATATTATATTGGTAAAAGTAAATTTAAAAGCAAAGTCTTTAGTATACTGTAGATTTATAGTTCTTTGATGGGGACTCTAGTTCATATGTGTGTATTTTTTCCCTCACTTAGATATGTTGATGATGTGATCAGCCGCATCGACAGGATGTTTCCTGAAATGTCTATCCACTTATCCAGACCCAATGGAACATCAGCAATGCTTCTGGTAAGAACTACTTGACCTGTCTATAGGGACACGTGGGACAAAAACTGCTTTCAAAATTAACTCTCTGGCCCTGTGTCATACTCTCTGTAAAATGGACATTAAATCCATTGTTCAATGGTGAAAAATATAATTTTCTTTTTGTTTAATTTTAAAAACATGGGGTACAATTCAGGGTTAGGTATACAGATGTTCATTATGCAGCTACTCTTGTTGATGAGGTGTGTTGTGTGTTCCCCCCTCCCCTGGCAGTTTCCCACTACTACCAATCCCTTTCTTATTGTTTTACGATAGTTGTTCGAGGTCTGCTTATGAGTGAGAACATGTGATACTCAGTTCTTTGTTTCTGTGATACATCACTCAGTGTTTTAGCCTCTAAGTCCATTCAAATTGCTGCAAAGTTCATAATTTTGTCCTTCTTTATGGCTGCATAATATTCCATCATGTATATGTACCGCTATTTTTTTTTTTCCTCCAGTCCTCTTTCAGTTAGCAACACGGTTGATTCCATGTTTTTGCTATTGTGAATAATGCTGCAATAAACATGCGTGTACAGGTATCTTTTTCATAGAGTAATTTGAGTTCCTCCAGGTATGTTCCCAGTAGGGGGATCGCAGGGTCATATGAGAGGTAATTTTTAGATCTTTTAGGAATCGCTACACTGGAAAAACATATTTTCTTTACTGGCATTCTGTAGCTTAAAAGTTGTACACAATAGCCGGGCTCAGTGGCTCAACCTGTAATCCCACGCCTTTGGGAGGCTGAGGTGAGTGGATTGCCTGAGCCCATGGGTTCGAGACCCGCCTGGGCAGCGAGTCCTCATCTCTACAATAAATCAAAAAATCAGCCGGGCATGGTAGCGCAAGCCTGTAATTCCAGCTACTCTTGGAAGGCTGAGGCGGAAGGATCACCGGAGCCCAGCAGGTCGAGGCTGTACACTTTGAAACCTTGTTTTTGAACAAAATGGCAGACTCCAAGTAAGAGTTAACCAGAGAGGAAAGATGTTATAAGACCATTTCACCTTAAGTCAGTTCATGGTGTAAACCTCCATAGTGTTTTGGTAAATCTGTTTTATGTTTTCTGTAAGTGGTACATTAGACAATAAAGATACTCAATAATTAGATCCTGCTAAAGAAAATGCTTCTGTAAAACAGGTTCTGTGGAACTCATTTATACACCCCATCATGTATTTGAAGAAAGTATACTGAGACCTCATCTCCAATGACTTCTGGTTTTGTTGGTTCTGGTTTTGTTGGTTTGCTCTGAACACATTGGCCTCATAATCTCACCATTGATGTTTGTATTTGCAGGAATTTGCCAAAGATCGGTGTGTTTTGGAAATAGAATGGGAATGCTCGATTATATTATTAATTCAAAGGGATAGAGACCTCCATGATGAGAAACTTTTTTTTTTTTTTTTTTTTTTAGTCAGACTCTCACTCTGTTGCCCAGGGTGGAATGCAGTGGCATGCTCATGGCCACCGCAGCCTTGACCTGCTGGGCTCAAACAATCCTTCCACATTAGCCTTCCTAGTGGCTAGAGCTGTGCCACTACACCCTGCTAATTTTTTGATTTATTGTAGAGATGAGGTCTTGCCAAGTTGCCCGGGCTGGTCTTAAACCCATGGGCTCAGGCAGTCCTCTCACCTCGGCCTCCCAAAGTTGGATGAGAAGCTTTTTTTATGGTCTGTGTCATAATACTGGTACTTGGGAGAACACTTCCCTGAACACAGGTTTTGAAGACCCATCATGCTTTATGGAAAGCAGAGCTTATTGAATAAGAGTAATGGTTTCTGATGGACTTCAAGGAGGTGAGGTTCAGGCTTGAGTATTTTTTACATCTAGTCAATTGTTGCTGCTTTGGGGCCTAGTGAGACCGCCCCATACTTAGCACTCTACTTGTATAAAGTCTTATAAACTGCCAGTCACCAGGATGAGTTACATTCACTCATCTGTTACTGTTCTCCGTTCATCTTAGGACAACACGCTCACTGTGTTGTGTGCATGTGTGTTTTTCTTTTAAGGTGAGCAAGTGATGTGGGCTTGTTAAATGCATGATATTTCATTAGTAGGAAAAAACATCAGTGACGTTTATCTGGGTAACAGACTGCTTAAACAAAAATTATTTCAGTTAAAGTATAAAGAGATATAATACAGTGGTTTTTGAATAGAAAAGGAAAACAATTTTCTTCAAGTAAAATGTATCTGTCTATAAAACATGAAATATCGTCTGCCTCAGTGAAACACACACATTGTCTAGATTTTAAGATCCTCCAGACCAAGCAGCCAGAACATAAATCCTGCTTTCTGTGTGCTTGGCAGGGACCAAAGAGTTAATGAAGATAAAAATGAAAGCGTCCTCAGTGAAATAGGTTTGTTCAAATTATTTCTGGGTCATTGAGCTTCCATCTCACGATGGAGCAGGAGTTTGGCATTGGAGGGAACGAGCAGAGCAATCAGGATTCTGGGCAGGCAGACCTAAGATATTAGAGTCACTTCCACCTGAGAAGGCAGCCTCTTATTTCACCGTGACCTGGCAGCCTCATCTGCTTTCTCACGCGTCTGTCCTGATAGACTGAGGAGAGTGTTAGAGGCCCCATTCAAGGGAAGAATCCCATTGTGTATACACCGTTTTTTTGCCCCCGCTGGGGACTAACTCAGATATATATGCATCTAGATGACTAGTTGTTACTTTCTTCCGTGACACAGAAACTCACAGGTGGTGCTTACTTTAAGGAGTAGTAGCGAGTGACCCGATGCAGAATCAGATTGCCAGGTGGATAATCATACTTTTAACAGAATGGTTTTTTTGGATTTTTGCTTTTAAGAGATGGTATTGGCCAGGTGTAGTGGCTCACACCTGTAATCCCAGCACTTGGGGAGGCCGAGGCATGAGGATCATTTGAGCCCAGGAGTTTGAGACCAGCCTGGGCAACATAGTAAGACCTCATCTCTACAAAAAAATAAAAAAATTAGCACACATGCACCTGTAGTCTCAGCGACTCAGGAGGCCAAGGCGGGAGAATCGTTTGAGTCCAGGGGTTTGAGACTGGTGAGCTCTGATCATGCCACTACACTCTAGCCTAAGCAACTGCATGAGACTTGGACTCAAAAATAAAAATTGTGTTTTATCAGGTGGTGGATTTCTAGGCCATTTACTGCTGCTACACCCATCTTGAGACTGAAGGTAATTTCTCACCTTGGGGGAGCAGGACCACAACAACTGCCACCTCCCCTACTCCCTATGCCAGTCACCAGTTTCCTAGACATCACCGGAAAAGGTTTGAGGCCTAGACTGTGGCAGTAGGGCACCATGCAGGAGGAGTAGGCAAGTATTGAAGGTGTTTTCTGGAGCTAAATCTGGAATACAGTGTATTCCAAAAGACGTTGAGAGGCAAATGAGACTGATGGTAAAGGAAGATAGCAGCAGAGGTTGCTCAAGTGTTTATTTCAACAGCCGCCTAACTGGCTTCTCTCTCCATCACTCTAATTTAAATGCCACATGTGTATGTATCCCCAAATAATGCCTCCTTGAGTTTGAGTTTTGAGCTTTATAAAAACAGTATCATACTATGTACAAGGAGGGACCAAACAAAACTGGACATTTTTTTTTTTTTTTTTTTTTTTTTTGGGTGGGAGTCTCACTCTGTCGCCCAGACTGGAGTGCAGTGGCCGCTCCCGGCCACCGCAGCCTCGACCTGCTGGGCTCCGGCGATCCTTCCGCCTCAGCCTTCCAAGTAGCCAGAATTACAGGCATGCACCACCACGCCCGCTGATTTTGTGATTTTATTGTTGAGATGAGGTCTCGCTGCCCAGGCGGGTCTCGAACCCGCAGGCTCAGGCAATCCACTCACCTCAGCCTCCCAAAGGCGCAGGATTACAGGCTGAGCCACCAAGCCCAGCTTGACTTTTTTTTTTTTTTTTTTGAGTTAGTGTTTCATTTACTCTGTCACCCAGGCTGGAATATAGTGGCACGCTGTGGCCACTGCAACCTCGATCTGCTGGACTCAGGCAGTCCTTCCACCGTAGCCTTCCAAGCAGCTGGAACTACAGACATGCACCACCACACCTGGCTAATTTTTTTTTTTTATTGCAGAGACGAGGTCTCACCAAATTGCCTATGCTGGGCTCAAATCCCTGGACTCACACAATTCTCTTGCCTCTGCCTCCCAAAGTGCTGGGATTACAGGCATGAGCCACTGACCCAGCTGAGAATTATTTTTTTGGAGAGCAGGTCCTTGTAGTACAGGCTTTCCCCGCTAGGTAGGTGTTCTAAGTACCCGTCAACACCAGTGTACCAACTAGCCTTGTTGTGAGAGGCTGTATTTGCCTTCAGTAAATTTTTTTTGGAGAGTCTTTCGTTGCATTTGCCTGTTTCCTGTTGGGTGATTTATGAGCGCACCTGCCCATACCACACTAAGTGTTCCAACAGTTTTTGACCAAATCTCATGACCCCCGTGCCCCATCCTTCCTATTCACCTGAACTTGCCCCAGCAACTTTTTGTTGTTTCCCCGGGTGAGAAAAATCCTCCAAGAGAAATGTTTTGCCAGTGTGGAATAGGTAAAACAAGAAACAGCAGAAGCACTAAAAGGCATCAAAATGAGAGGAGTTCAAAAGCTGTTTTGAGCAGTGGAAAGAGTGTCTCGATAGGTGGAGTGCATCCCATGGAGAGGACTTTGAAGGTGACTGAAGTTTAAACGTGTGAGAATAAATACACAATATTTTATAAATAAACTGTTTTGGGGGGGTCCCCCTCATGTATGGTTTCTGAGATGTGTCGCTGTGGATGGTTGTGTCTAGCAGTTTGATCATCTTTGTCATCTAATGTCCACCTTGTAACTGTCCACACTTTATTCTGGTCAAGGCATGTTGGGGTTGTTTACAGTTTTGTTTCTTTTAAAAAATGTTGGCATAAGCACTCTCATGCATATATTTTTAAACCTCAGCTCCAGCCATGGAGTCAGTGCAGGCCCCTGACTGGAGGAGGTGGGGGGACGTTGTGATCACTAGGGAAAAGCAGCTTTTTCCTGAGTCACCTGAGTTGTGAAGCACAATGCTACGGTGCCCACAGG